GTTTGCGGAGACGCAGCGGCTTTGTGGGCTCCATCTCTTGACCATTGAATAGAATGGCAGGACTGCTGAAGCCCAGGCCGTTTGACCCAACGACGGGACTCGTGGCAGGTCGCGAAGCAGCCTTAGCCGGCTTGCTTGGCTTCATCTTTGGCGTCGACTCGGTGGCACAAGCCTCGTTGGCTTCGACTGCGAATGTTTCAAAGCCTTCGCCGTTGGGCTGAGGGAACTGGTTGATGGTGCTGAGGCGAGGTGTGCTGCTGCGCGAGTTGAAGCCGGGCGAGCTGGTGACCGACTTGCGCGACAGACTGAGCCTTGTTTTGAGGCTCTCCGCAAAGCTGGGCTTGGGACTGAGAGAAGGCGAGGTGCCACGCTGTTTCGGGCTCAACTGAGCGAGGATGGGACTGTCAGCTCCAAGACCGGGAGACAGGTGCATGCTGTCGGTGGGCGGATCAGGGATAAGGGTGCGGTGGTAGGAGCTCATGAAGTTCATGGCAGCGCCCTTTCTGATGTCCTTGAGAGGCAAGTGGTCGCTCGACTTAGCTTTCAGGTTCATGAGGCTGGCACGGTTGACCTCGATCGACTCGACGTGAATAGTAAGCCCCCCCATCCTGGCAGCCATGACGGCCGAGGGTGGCATAGGGGCAGCACGCGGTTGCATCAGATCTGGCATGACCATTTTGGGACGGTCGAGTGCGCCGAGTGTCGAAGCGCGCTTGCGCTGCTTGGGAGGAGCCATCACTTTATCGCTGTCCAAGGATTTGTTGTCTTCAACAAAGACGGTTATGGCCTGAGCCAGGGGAGTCATATCCTCTGCCAGCTTGGCCAGCGAAACAGGCATGGGTGGCAAGGGAGGGACGGAAGCAGCTGGCACGATGTTGACCTTGCCAATGCTTGTGTTGGCTTCGATGTCAACGCTAGTCTGCGACGAGCTGTACGATATGTTGTCACTCGAGTACGATCGGAGGGTTGACGACTCGCCGATGGAAGAATTGGCAGCTTCAAGGTCAAGGTCCTCACTTCGAGACGGTCTGCGGAGATTGCCAAGCATGTTGCTGAACGTGCCTTGCGATGGGCTTTTGGCTGGACCGAGACCGAGACTCAGAGGACGGAAGGACGACGTCGATGCCAGGACCTCTTGCTCCTCATAAGTGCCTAAGCGGGGAGAGGGAGCCATGTCAATGGGTGGCATGTTGATGCAGATCTGACCAATAGAGCCAGTTGCGCTGTGGAACGAGTCGGGTGCCGAGGGACCGCTCGCTGCTGTCGGTCGGTTAGCTTTGCTCTGCAGAGAGCTGCTCGAGGGCATATTCGACACGGGTGCGCTTGTTGGTGCTGGTGGAAGACCAGCTGAAGGTGGTGGCGTCGGTAGAGGCAAGCGGAAGGACGCAGGTGAGGGCAACGCGCTCAACTTAGCTGGTGGGCTTGCCTTGAAGCCTGGCAGTATCGCTGCCTCGGGCTGAGCAGGCGAAAGAGCCTCGATAAGGCTCTGCATACCAACGCTTTTTTTGCTCATCTGTGCTTGCTCCTGCTTTCTGGATTCTGCTAAAGATGAAGCTGGGAGCCAAGCACTGTTGCTCTGATCGAAGGAGAAATCGCCATGAAGTTTGAGCGAGTGTTCAAAAGACTCGTCGTTCCCAAAGTCAATTCCGAGATCGAGGATAGGTGTCAATGACGGTTCATCGGCATCGTTTGAGGGTTCTCCAGTCTGCTTCTTGTCATCTGCGAGCACTTCCTTCTCTTCCTGCTTCATCGAGGGCTGTGATGAGCTGGCTGAAAAGTCCGGAAGAACTCCCAGGCTGCGGAGGAGTAAGGAAGGCACGGCACTGCGAGCGTTTTTCTTCTTCTGTTCCGGGGACTCCTCCTTCTTCTCTTTAGCGCTACTCTTGAATGACGATGGCGATACGAGTCTTGGTGATTTGCCGTAAACTACTGGCTTCAGAAGAATGCTGGGACCAGGGGACATGGTGAGCTCCGTAAGGCCTGGCGATTTTGGTGTACATGGAGAAGGGAGATCAGCCGACAGGGGAGGCTGCATTCGTGGCGAAAGCAGTGCTGCCTTTGGAAACTTTGGCGCGGCAAAAGGTCTTGATGGGAAGAAGCCTTGTTGACGCATCGAGATGACCGTCTTTTGTGCCAGAGACATCTTGGTGAGATCGTGCTGGGCGTTGAGTGCGCGTTCGGGCGCGTAGCTAAGATGTGGCTCTCCTACGTCTTCGGTGGATATTGACTTTGCCTTGATGTGTGATGCGTAGATAGCAGCGGCTGATGCTGGTGCTGGAGAAGTGGCGATCATAATCGACTTTCGTTTCTTTCCCTTCAGATAGCGTCTAAGTGCGACCAAGACAAAAATAGTTGCGGCGACGACGGCGGTACATGCTGCGGCCAGCAGAGAGGTGGACAGCGTCCCAAGGCCGCCGCTGCCGCCAGCAGCCGCTGCACCTGTGCTGGACATGGTGGGCTATGTGTGTACTGGTCGTCTGATGCAAGGATGCTGTGCAGGTGACGCCCTCAAGAGAGAGACAAGCGTTCCGTCGTGACCAGACTGGCGCCGCTTTGAAGCGAGTAGGAGAGTAGATGAATGATGATGATGATGATGGTGGTGCTGATGGGGTGAGTAGTAGAGGTCAAGACATTAGCAATGACGATCGCAATTCTCAGCAAGGCCCTAGGGCTATGGTGAAGAGGCGAAGCGTCGGTAAGCAATTGCTGCGATGAAGACCGTCGCTTCGAGGATCGCCGGCAGAGCTTGGCGAATGAGCAAGAGGATGACGACCAAGGCTTCAGAGCTTCACAGCGGCGGTCCTCGAAGCTGCACAATACCCGAGACTCCAGTCCCAGAGGGCAGAGTAGGAAGACGAGGATACAGAAGCGGCGATCGCAGAGAGCGGAACATGCTGCATCACATCATGGCGATTTGGCTGGCAGGCAGGCTGATTCAGGCGAGGGAGGCAGGCATGGACAAGCGCCGATGGTACAGAATCGTCTTAGCGGTGCATTGAACATGCCCGAATGTGGCCCCGACAAGGCAACCTTGGTGGACAGGCGGGGCTGCAGAAGGGCATGCTGATCCGAAGCAGCACGCTCGGCCCTTGGGGAGGACATACTCGTCCTCTAGAGGGCCCTGAACAGGTAAAGATGGGACAGCTGGGCATGGTCAAGCAAACAGCAGAGGCTGCTTCGAGCCCAGCTGTCATCCAACACCGAGAGTGGGATCGGCAAGACTGTATGAGTGCGGCTGAAAGTGTTGATCCCGAGAGAAAGCAGTAATGTGGCTCGGCAGTGATGGCCGAGATGCAGCGTGCAGCTGTCAAAAAGTCCGAGCTGTCTCTCAAAAATGGCTGCCCCCTTTCTGCTGACCGGCACATGATATTCATCCTCCCAGCCTGCCTCATTCAGCATCCGTAATGGCCCTTTTCTCTCCCTCTCTCTTGAGCTAGTCGGACGAGACTTGCCTTTACGAGCTGTGTCGATCATATCCTGGTAAGTGGACTGCAAATAGGTCGAGACACGCAGTCTTTGTGCCAATCGAGATCGTCAGAACGGCTCTCCAACCGTGTGGAATTCGTCTATGGCGCAGTAAGGGGTTGGATCGTCCATCTGGTCTCAGGATTGCTCCATGGTCGAGTTACAGCGACGGGAAGCAGGTGTGGGTCAATGGCCCAGCAGCCAGAGTGTTGGGAGTGAAGCCGAGTGTTACTTCTGCTGCGCCTTGTCGAACTGTGTCTCTGGATTTCCAAGGCTTCAGGGGTCGGAGCGCATACAGCAGCCAAAAATCCAGCATGCCGAAAGTCCTGACGACGCGCAATATTCAAGCCTCTGCTGTGATTACATCAGCCTGATTAATACAAGAGGGTTACTATAAAATTGCATCGCAAAAGTGCTGATTGAGAAGAAGACGAAGAAAAAATGGCGATCAACCAAAGCTCGCTCAGTCAAGCCTCAATCCCTTTGCTCAGCACCACATCGTCTTTCTTCGTCTCTCACTCCGATTCGAGACACAGTCGTCGCAGGATGTCGGATCTGCGATATACGGCAGCCTCGCAGCTGGAGCATCTGCACAGCAGATACACTGGCACCATCAACGCTGACACTGAGAAGTAGTGAGTATGCCTCCCGATACCCCGCCGCTTCTCGTGTTCTTCGGTCTGATGTAGAGCTGTCCACGCTGACTCTGAATATCCTGTTCCTGTCTTTGTCTCTGCTTCGTTTGTAACAGCGAATGGATCACACACCAACTCAGGGACACTAGCGCCTCGATCATCGGTCACCCACCCCTGTTGTCGTACCAAGCGCTCGCGGGCGGAGAGTCCAAGGCTCGCGTCAAGTTCGAACTCGCCGAAAAGATGCTGCAGCCTTGCGGTCCTCCCCCGCACAAAGAAGACGATTGATTACGCTAAACCCCTCTATATACCCATCGACAATCCTTTGATACCCCAACGAAACGAACACCTGTATTTCTAGTTCCATCGAGCAAACTGAAACAAAGCTCTTACCTGCTGATGCCGCATCGTCTGTGCGAGCTTTCGTCCCCGACTCCCCTTCTCTACCCTCTCCTTCCTGCTTCTCTTTTATGCCTGTGCTGAGCACACGGTCCTGGCTTATAGAGTCACCCGCTACCTTTTCCAATGGGTTGTCGTGGCGCTCGCTGGGACCAAGATTAATCCACTCGACCTTGCAGTTCAATTCTCTAGTTTAGACCGCTGACAAGCATCCTAAGCTAGCCTTTGGGCTGTGAGGTTGGGCCTGCTGCTTCCTTCACAACTTGAACCTAGCGGCGCTTTCCTTCTCGCTGTCCGCGTAAAAAACGGTAGCGGCCGGACGTCGGAGGGAGGCGGTAGCAGGGACATTTCTCGCTTCAAACATGTTTCTATTCGTATCGGGCAATCTAATGATGTTGCTCAGCTTTGTGTGCGAGTGTGATTCGTCGTGTGAGATAGATTCTGTTGCTGTCGACTGGTCTTGGCTGAAATAAGAAAGGAAGATGGCAAGGAAAGAAGAAAGAACTGTAACACCTAAGATTCCCGCGTGGTCCCCCACCGCAGCACTGATTAGGCGATACCTTGCTTAAATTTGCAGATCGGACGGGACGCGGTGCTTTCGAGGTCCTGTGGCCTCAGAAAGCATTTCATCTCCCTCATCTACTTGTATACCGCTTCCCTTTTCTGTCTCGATGGTGCGAGGAGATCTGCAAAGCCGTTCCTGAAGATGAGAAGAAGGTGGCGAGATCCGATCTCTTTTTGGCTCCTCGCTAATCTCGGCAATTGAATTCGCTGCTGTGATTGTGCTCAGCTGAGATCTTCTATGGACGCTCGGCTTGATCGACGTCGTACATCGTAATCCAACACTGCACTTTCTCCTTGCCAGCCCCAATCAGCTACGTTGCAACAACAGCCCATTTCACCTTTCGTAAGAGCAAAGGCTTGGAAGTCGAAGTGGCCGTATTGCAGCTTCACTGTCGGGCTGGCAGGTCGTGTAGTCCGCGGCAATGCATCGCCCACTTGAGGAGATGACGAGAGCTTGCACCCTGTCAAAGTGGATGGTTTGCCGGCGGCTTTTGCTTCCTCCCTCTCTCCGCCCCTGCTGGCTCTGCCGCCCGGTCGCTTTCTTCTCGATGAACTAGCTGTCCGTCTTCCGAGATGAGTTTGATGTTGTTTCTGTTTCCGATGATGAGACGTGTGGGACCATTGCCTTGGCTACTACTGGCATCTAGACCTGCCGTGTTTATACCCTCAACGATACCCCGCCCCGCACACTTCCTCGGGCACAGTCTGGGAGGTCCAACCATCCTCAAACTCCAGCAGCTCTTACGGCAGGGCTTCTTCAATCACGCACTAGGCATCAAACACGACGCCGATGAAGGGGAGAATGAGTGGAGAGCAGGAGACTTGATTTTATGCGTAACGTCCGTTTCTTGCCCTTTCCGAGGTACACCCCTGGTCTACAGCTTGGGATCAGAACCAGTCCCGTATCCGAAAGTGCGCATGTTTTCGGTAGGTGACATAGTGAGCAAGCTCATTCACATTGCTGCCTATCTCGACTTGCCTGGATTTGATGCGCATGCTGATGCATGGCACTTTTCGGGAAAGCAGAGGAAGGCTGCGAAGCGAGCCCAACTCACTGGAGGGATAGCCGCACAAAACCCATCCAAACAGCAAGATCTGGAAGAGGGCGTCAGGTCAGAGAAGGCAGAAGAGGAACAGATAGCGGGAGTGACGGAGTTCCTGCGACAGCTGTGGAAAAGCGATTGGTCTGGTGGAAAGGACTGTGCTCCTTGGGAGTGTACTTTCGCAGAACGAGACAAGGACTCACAAGCAGGTCCAGTGATGAGACAGGAGATTGGGTGAGTCCGTTCATCCTTGGACAACGCGGTGGGTGACCTTTGATTCGATTGGAGAGCGGGAACACAAAGCAGAGCAAGGAACAAAGTGAGGGCCAAAGAATTCCATTTCTAAACAATCATATCTAAACACCGTTACTGGGAGGTAAGAAGAAGTCGAGGGTAACAAAGAAGAATTGTGTACATGAGGAGAGAGAGAGAAAGAGAGTCGCGGACAGATCGTACAAAGTGGGAAGAAACGCAAGTCTATCTTAAGCCAGACCGAGAGAGCCAGCAGGAGCCGCCGGTGGGGGACCAGCAACATCGCGTTCAGCCTTCAACGACATCATGGCACTGCTGGCAGCGCTGTTGCCGGGGTTAGGCGACATGTGTTGGTCCATCCTTGGTGTTGTGTTGTTCGGGAACGGCCTTCGGTCATCGAGACCGTGCAAAGCCATATAGGGGGAGCGTTGGAACTGCTGCTGATGCTGTTGTTGCGACTGCTGCTGTTGGGTCTGGTGACCCTGCTGCTGGACGGGGAGCTTGACGTTGATAGGGGCCAAGTTGTTGCCGTAGTAGCTGGCAGGAGGTTGTTGGTCTAGATACGAGCCACCGATGCCAGAACGGCCGCGGGTGGGGGCTTTGGGCATCTTGAGCGGGAACAACCGGATGGTGTCTTGCTGCAAGAAGGTACCTGCGGCGGTAGGGACAGTGGGTTGGGGAGGGACGAAGCCAGAAATCTTGTTGCCGTTGGGCGAAAGGAGAGGAGGGTCGGAACCAGGTCCGTTGAGCGGTGTGCGCGGGGACATGGTCGAAGAGGAAGCACCGTTGGAGCTGAGAGCGACAAGGCTGCTGTCCGAGTGGAGACGGTGGTGTGCGAGGCCATTGGGTGCCGACGAAGCAGAGATGAAGCTTGCGTTGGAGGCAGACGAGTGCAAAGGTGGGCTGATCAACGAGGAAGTAGAGCCGTTGCTCATGCCACCACCTTGACGGTTGCCAACATTGCTGCCGTAGACACCACCAAGGTAGCTGCCGTTGGACTGCGATGTCAAGCTAGGAAGCTGCGATGTGGGCGACTGTGGAGTGCCAGAGTTGGGGAAACGACCGACGGGACTCAACATGGATCCTCCGGGCTGAATGAGCGGCGCCGACGAGCTGCGGTCGTAAGCGTGGTGTGCGGCGTCCTGCTCGTAAGCGTAGTAGGAGGTCTGGTTGGGTCCACCGGGCTGGCTGTATCTTGCCCTCAAACCCTCACGGTCATCGACGTTGGGGCTAGAGCCGCTAGGCTGCCATCCGTTGCTAGGCATCTGGAGAGGCATGGGTGGGCGTGGTGCAAGAACCTGAGTACCGAATGCTGGGCTGGAGAAGCTCGATTCGCCACCAGGAGTGCTGCCAAGCATGCCATCACTGCGGCTAGAAGGCGAGATGTGACCATCACGCCCGTAGTTGGACATGGGACCAGAGACAGAGAGGGCAGGATTGTTAGGCTGCGAGCCGATGGTGGCCCTGCGCTTGTAAGGGCCACGCTTGATACCGCGTCGCCTTTCCTTACGTGCGCTATCTTGACAAGTGTCAACGAGACCGTACTTGACACAACGACCGCATGGACGACCCTCATCGCACTTCTTGCATGCCTTCTGGCAGTTGATACAGGCGTTCTTGACCTGCCTGCGCTTGGGTCGGATACCAGCACCTTGGAGCGCGGCGTAGCTCTGGTGTGCGAGGAGATCGGGGCGGTGACCGTGGAAGTGACCAACGTTCATCATGTCGGGATGGCTCATCTGGTGGGCAGCGTAGAGCTGACCGTTTGGGTCCATCTGTGGTGATGAGGCGTGGTGCGAGTAGTAGCCGCCCTGTTGGGAAGCGACCTCGCTAGGGTGATGCTGAGCAGGATGGCCGTAGAAGTTCTGGCTAGAGTAAGCGAAATTGGAGTTCATCTGGGAAGCGCTGTACTGGCTCATCTGCTGCTGCTGTTGGTGGTAGGTCTGAGGCGGGAGAGACGAAGCCGAATCGGCGCCGTTCTGAGCGGAGTAATGCGGATGCATTGGTGGAGCCATGCTGTACGTCATGCCGCCTGAGGTAGGGCCGGGGTGACCAGACATCTGACAGTGTAAGAAAGATTCGGAAAAAGCAGCGAGGTGTAGCTGCTACTGTTCTGACCAAGCTTCGATGGTGAAAAGCTCCGAGGGTAGTTTGTATGCTGTTGTTAACCGTGTGTACGTTGGAAGTGAGAGGACGCGTAAAGGTGACAAGCTGAGTATGTGAACAAGGACAAGGACGACGATGGATGATGGATGAAGTGGTGAAGATAGGGATGGCGAGAACCTAGGCCGAGGAAGTAAAGGAGGAGGGGGACGGGTCAAGATGGAGAGCGTAGCATCAGGAAAAGGACGTTAGATGGAGAGGGTAGGGAAGGGATCCATAATAAAGGGAAGTGGACGGAGTTGAGTTGAGAAAAAGAGGGGAAGGACGACGAGCAGCGGAAGTGGACGGAGAGTGTATCAGGAAGGGGATGAGGAGAGGCAAAACGTCTAAACAAGGAGGCGGATCCAGGTCGGTACGACCTTTTTGGCAGCGGTCGGAGACGGAACTTTGAAGTTGAGTGTTCTCATGCCACAGGCACAAAGGGATGCGAATGATTCGAAAGAGGGTAGCTAAGCAGAAGGAGCGGGGAACGAAGCTGTGTCAGAAAACAGATTAGCAGCAAGCATAGAAGGAGGCGGAAGACGACGACGACGACGATGGGGCCACGACACGAGAAAAGGAGGAGGTTAAAGGATGGAAGATTAAAGCAGAAGAGCAGAGGATACGACAGAGTAGAGAGCGGCAGTGAGAAGGATGCGGAGTAGGAGAGGATTCCACGGGGACCGGATTGGCAGACGGAAGGCCGACCGAAGGGTCGAATAGAGTGGGAAATTAGGGTGTAACTTTGTAAGGCAGAAGAGTACAGTGCTGTATGCTCTCAAGAGCCAGGAACAGGAACGAAACAGAAACGGACGCAAGAGAGGGAGAGGTGCAGCACTGAAAGGAACAGGACGGAAGAGTGAGAATCGAAAGGGGAAAGTGAGACGGCCTGCGCGGATGTCTGGCTGTGTTTCCCACATGGCGGTTGAGCGGCAGTAAGGAAACAATAGCAGTGTTGACCTCCATTTCAAAGCAAGGAACGCCTTCAAGTTTCATCATTAACAAGTGCAAAAAGCGAATACAAAAAGTAGAAGCGGAGGAAGAGTACCGGACGGAGCAGGAGAGCATCGAAAGTACTGTCATAAAGCTGGTCAAACAAGAAAAGAAGCGTGATTAGATGTATGGGAAGAGGCCTCTTTGAAACGATCCAGGAACCGAACAAAGAGTGTCAGTGAATGCGCAGTCCTGCGATCATCAGTTGCCCAAGTTACATAGCAAGAGTGCTACAGTGCGTTGTTGTTGATTGCTGTCATGCATAGGCCCGGGAGGCCTCGGCGAAGCAAAGTTGAGAGATGGATTGCGATTGTTTTCTTGTAGACAGACCTTCTGCCCTAGCATCTCCCAATGGAAAATCAGAAAGCAAAGCAAGGCATGCGCCAGTCCTAGACAAATTCGAATCTAGCACGGGCGCTGTCAGTCTGGTCTCCACAGTGTCACAATGCTATCTTCAACAAAGGAAAAGGGTCGAATTCGAGACGGAAAAGGCTGGGCCCTGAGAGTTACATGGGAAAAGCGGCTCGCCTCTATGCACATTCAATTGAGCAGGCACTTTCTCTCTCTCTCCTCTCTTTCACTCTGCCCTCCAAAGTTGATGGAAAAAGGGCTTGCCTGAACA